AAAACTAGTTCAATCGGCTGACTAGTTTTCCAAATAGTTACAAAAAACGTTTAAAAAAGAAAAGGCTTTTTCTCGGGAACTATTGGACTGATCGAGCGGATTCTACGGCCAGAGTTAGTCCAAAGTAGGATCTATAATTTGACAAAATTCCATATTTTGTAGAATTTTTTTTTGTCCTCTTATTGTTGTACTTTCTAAAATTTAATTTCCGAAAATGGTCGAAAGGGGGGGGGGGGAATATACAGACATGGTCGCCAAACTTCGTATTTTTACGTTTCAGACCATTCTGCATCATTTTCAATGAAAATTCCAGAAAGTCAAAATTCAACGATTACAAAGCTTCCATTCGGAAGCAAAAAAACATTCCATTTTTTAAGCAGAGGCTTCCTGAAATGACACACTGAAATGGAAGAAAAATTAGCAGGATCGGAGATCATTATGCAGAAAAATTAATTAATTTACTAAATACATCTTTAGGTTACAATTTTTTTGGATTCGTCAAAAAAAGGTCAGTGTCTATAGACACTGTATATGGCAATTGCCATACGCCCAAGGTAACGTTTACCATATGTTTGAGCCCTTTCTTTCCATACACGTATGGCAAAAGCTGTACACGCATGGCAAAAGCCATACACGTATGGCAAAAGCCATACGCACATAGCTTTGTAACCTAAAGATGTATTTAGTAAATTAATTAATTTTTCTACATAATGATCTCCGATCCTGCTAATTTTTCTTCCATTTCAGTGTGTCATTTCAGGAAGCCTCTGCTTAAAAAATGGAATGTCTTTTTGCTTCTGAATGGAAGCTTTGTAATCGTTGAGTTTTGACTTTTTGTAATTTTCATTGAAAATGATGCAGAATGGTCTGAAACGTAAAAATACGGAATTTTGCGACCATGTCTGTATGTCCCCGCCCCCCTTTCGCCGATTTTTGGAAATGAAATTTTAGAAAGTACAACAATAAGAGGACAAAAAAAAATTCTAAAAAATATGGAATTTTGTCAAATTATCGATTTTTTTTTGTTTAAACATGTTTTTATTCAGAATTTACAACAATATTTACAGATATTTACAAGAAAAAAACAGGTACATAAAAAACTTTTGCATAAGCTATCGGATTTTTGTATTAATTTATGGCCACTTGGTGACTCTCGCAATTAATAGTAGTCTTATAGTCTTATAGTCTTATAGGGCTTTAGGCGTTCCCTTCCATGTTAGGGAGGGTGCAACGAGCTTTCCAGCCATTTTGCACCCTGCATTTGTCAGCCGCCTAGTCAATAGGTGCAAGTATGTTGGCCTTTCGAGCAAACTCATAGAGCCCTTCTATACCGTCTCTATCAACATACATATCTGTATCAACTCAAGGTTGATACCCTCGAGCTACCAAACTAATATCACTCGAGATGTGATTCTTTCACTGAATTTTCCTTGGGTGTTGCTTGATATTCTTTTTATCAAAACTACTTGGCAGAAAAGTTAATTGATTGGGGTGAATAACAGAAACAATGAAATCACACTGACACTGCACCTTGGTTGCATAGACTCAAGAAATGTTATTCTTTATTCAACACGGTGTTTGCTATTTTTCACTTCACTTCCAGTACTGAACTGACTCCTTTTTCACTTTTATTTTCTTGAGAGCGTCGGAAGAAGGAGGAGGGAATTAGCTAAACACTAATTTTTGTCGTTTCTCTGATTGGTGAGCTAAGAAACTTGGAACTCATTGGTGTGATCTATCGATGGTGGGAGAAGAGAGGGTGTGATTTAAGGAAAGTTAGAATTTTGACATTTCCGAAGTCGTTAATTCTGGCTACGCGAAGTTGAAACCTTTTTTTTTTGGTGTGACGGCTTGCAACGGATTATACTGGAAAACAGCTAGTAACGTTGGGGAGTTGCCCATAATAAAATTACGGGTTCGGCGGCTCTCGGTCCTCTCGTGCGATTTGAGGATGGACAAAAAATGAATGCTGAATGAGGGTGGAAAAGTGAATTGCTGAAGAGCTGAAGGGTTTTGAGGAACAAGAATTTCCCCAGATAACCAGCAGCTTTGTCCAAACTACTTGTCCGTGATTTTCATTGGGGATGCTGGCTTAGGTGGAAAAAAAAAGCTTTAAAATTTCTCCGTTATCTGCGTCCTCCCCCTTCTTTCGCTCTCCAAAATGGTTGTAAATTTAGAATATTTTCTTTTCCTTAATAGCTATAAATTATAATGAAATATAGTTCAACAATGAAAGACGCTAGATTTGTTGGGGACGAAACAATATCCTTGATGCAAGTGGTCCCAAAGACGTCCCAACGGATCTCGTCAAGACCACTGCATCTGGTGCCTAAGTGGTGCGGGTTTTCGTCCGCCAGTCCACACTTCGGGCAGGTAGGGTCACTTCCTCTACCTATTTGCGCCAGGTATGAGGCTAGGGGCCAGTGCCCAGTGAGAAGTCCGATCAAAGACCGGAGTTTCATCCTGTTCAGCCCTACCAGCGTCTCCGCCAGCTGTTTTGTAGGTTCACGAAAAAGGGTCCTTGTATGTTTGGCGCCCTCTTCAGAGCGTCACCTTTCCACAACCCCCCTCTCCGCTCGTTTCCAGATCATATCCTTAACGAAGTCTATGTGCACTCCCACTGGGTTCTCCTCTGTTGGCGCAACCTCTAGACAACCTCTTTTGGCCAGCTCGTCGGCTTTCATGTTGCCGAGGATGCCAGCGTGGCCCGGAATCCAGACCACTTCCAGCTGATTATGGGAAGCCACCCTTTCCATCAGCTCAGTGCAGTCGTTGACTAATCGAGAGCAACTCTCATTCTTGAGCAGTGGCCTCAACGCACGCCTGCTGTCTGAGCAGATGTATATCTTCTTGCCCCTGCCCCCCCTGCCCAGAATTTCCCTGGCACAGGCTTTCAGGGCTGCAAGCTCTGCTTGGAGCACGGTCGTATGCGGGTCCAATCCAAGGACCCTTGGAATTGAAGGCCCCTCAGACCAGATCCCTGCCCTCGCTCTATTACCAATTCTGGAGCCATCCGTGTACCAGACCAGCCCCTTCGGTGGCGTCCACTTTCTGTCACTCCCTAGTTGGGTTGCCCCATATCCAAGGTTGACCTTAAAACTCTTTTGGAAGTGCCATCGCGGTCCGCAGGCATCTCCTCCCCAGGACAGCAGTCCCCGAAGGTCGCTGTCCGCCGTGAGCATTGCCGCATGACCACTACTGGCCTCCTTCCATCGATCTTGCAGTCGTAATCTCGCAGCCGAGATCAGCGCCACCTCCTTAATGTGAAGGTGAGGCGGCTGGAGAAAGAGCAGAGCCTCCAGTGCTGAGGTGGGGGTCGTTCTGAGTGCCCTCGTAATTCCCAGCATCGCAAGCCTGCCCGTCCTGTCTACCGTTTTCCTGTGGCAGGCTTTGCTCATTGCCGTCCACCAAACAACAGCAGCGTACGCAAGCTGTGGGAGCATTATGGCCGTGTAGATCCATTTCAGGATTCTGGGCCTAAGCCCCCACGTGTTGCCAAACATCCTCCTGCATGCCCAGTAAGTCATGATGAATTTGTTCGTCTGCATGGTGATGTGCTTCTTCCAGCTGGGCCTTCTATCGAGCCATACCCCCAGGTATTTTACCTCGTTCGAAAAGCCCAGAACTGTATCATAAATGGAGGGCGGTCTTACGACACACCTCCTCCTGCTAGTAAAGAGCACCAGCTCCGTCTTGCTTGGGCTTACCCTGAGTCCATGAGAGGTGCACCACTGCTGAACATAGTCCAGCGCATTTTGCATCCTCCGGTGTAGTATGCCCTCATTCCTGCTACTCACGAGCAAAGCCACATCGTCTGCGTATCCGATTGCGTCCACCCCCAGTCTCTCAAGCCCAGTGAGGAGCCCGTCCGCAACGAGGAGCCACAGCAGAGGCGAGATGACCCCCCCTTGCGGGCAGCCACTCCCCACTAGCGCCCTGACTGTACTGTCCCCGAGCGAGGAGTGGACCAACCTAGTTCAGAGCATAGCGGCGATCCATCTGATGATGGATATCTCTATCCCAAAGAATGCCGCCGCCATCTCCATGGTTCCAAAGGAGGTATTATCAAAGGCCCCCTCTATGTCAATAAAGACAGCGAGGGCGTCCTCTTTCCTTTGCTTTGCTCTTTCTATTTTTGCAACCAGGCTGTGCAGTGCCGTCTCAGTTGATCTGCCCGCCTGGTATGCATGCTGCGAGGGGCTAATGGGATTCATTGTCAGCACTCCCTCTTTGATGTGCCTGTCAACGAGCCTTTCCAGCGTCTTCAGTAGGAAAGAGGTCAGGCTGATAGGCCGATAGGCTTTGGCGTTGTCATAGCTGCATTCACCTGGTTTAGGAATAAACACAACCCTGACCTTCCGCCATCTTCCTGGGACATGTCCTAAAGCAAGACAAGCCCTTAGTGCTGGTAGCAGTCTATGCAGAAACAGCGGGCCTCCTTTCCGCAGAAAAGCCGGGTATATGCCATCAGGCCCCGGACTCTTACACATCTCGAAGGAGTCCACCGCCCACCGCAGCCTGTCCAGCGTCACAATTTTCGAGGCCAGGCCCCACATCGGCCTGCCCTCGCTTGACCGTGCCCACTCCATACCAGAGCACATTCCCTCCCCCTGTATAACAGAGTCGGGGAAGTGCATCTGGATCAGGTGCTCCAGTATCTCATCTGGCTGGGTGATAGCAACACCACCAGGTAGTATGATCCCACCCAAGCCTTGCGCGTGTGCGGCAGAGAAGACCCTGCGAAGCCTGGCCACTTGTGGCAGTGCCTCCAACTCCTCGTAGAAGGTCCTCCATGCTGACTCTTTCGATCTTTTGATGAGATTTTTAAACTCCCTCTGTATCTTCCTGTACTGAGTCCAGTCCTCTTCTCTTTTGGTGCAGTACGCTCGGTTCGAGAGACGCCTGGTCAGACCTCTCAGTCTCCCAAGTTCCCGGTTCCACCATTTAACTTTCCTTCCTACCCTGCATGGTCTGATCGGACATGCCTGATGGAAGGACTCGGTTAGGGCTCTGTGGATTCTCTCCACCTCGTCCTCTAACCTCTCTATGTTGCTGGGCTTCACACATCCGACCTCTAGACTTTCCTCCAGTTCCCTCCTAAAAGAGCCCCAGTCGGTGGCCTCCGGATTTCTACGCATGAGTCCCTGCGCAATCTCAGCAGTGCCTTGAATTTCAAATCTGATGCACCGGTGATCGGAGAGCGAGTCCTCCTGGTCCGCCCTCCAGTTCACGCACCGGTGCGCCGGTCTGCAATCGCATAACGTGATGTCAATGATACATTGACACCTAGCGGTGACAAACGTGGGGCTAGATCCCCTGTTTAGGATCTCCAGCTCCGCATTCGCCAGGTATTCCAACAGGGCTGATCCCCTGGCGTTATTCTTACTGCTACCCCATACCACATGCTGCGAGTTTGCATCGCAGCCTGTAATGAGCGGCAGCTTTTTAGACCTGCAGTACCTGTCCAGTTCCTGCAGCTCTCTAGTGGGTGGCAGCTCTGTAGAGTCATGCGGTAGGTAAGCCGAACAGAGGACCATGTCCTCGGTCGGCCCCTCCCCATGTACCTGCACCATAACCGCCACCAGGTCCCTGTGACAGAAGTTCGCCATCCCCCTGGGTCTGCACGCTTTTCTAACTACGATGCAGGCCCTGGGTTCCGGGTTACCCGGAGAAAGGAATAGTTCTTCCTCACCTAGGTTAAATCCCCTTACAGATCCCTCGTAACACCAGGGCTCCTGTATAAGGCATATGTCTGTCTGTCCTACTGCGATGCTGTGACTCAGCAGGGCAGTCGCAGCCTTGCAGTGTTGCAAGTTAATCTGGGAGCATCGGAGAAGCGGCGTGGTTATACCGCCCCGTCGCCCATCGTCCGTTGCTCCGGCGTTTCCGTGCCTGCAGGCCATCGGAGCGCCCTTATTCAAGGTGCCCCTCCGGCCTGCCTGACGTGCAAGTCACGCCCTTTTCCCCCCTGATCCAGGCCAAGGGTGCCCTCTTCGGCACGGGTGAAAGTCCTTTGAGACCCCCACCCCCCCCTGACCCCCTCACGACCCGCCTGCCCGAACCACTTCGACCCCTATTGCCCCTTGGGCGTCCCACCGGTCTCGGCAGGGAGACCGCCAAGGGAGGCCAGCTGTCCGCGGCACTCCCGAGGCTTTCCCTCATCGTTCTTCTGGGGACCTCTGCCCCAGCAGCCATCGGTGCCCCTGCCGAGACTGCAGGCGCCCCCTGATCACTGCTGAGAGCAGCCCCCACCTGACTCAGGCTTCTCGCAGGAGTCGATGCTCCCTCCCTCGGCCCCCCCACCCATGACTCGTAAAAAGGAGCCAGTAGAAGGGAGCCGTCTCCACCTTCCTGAGCCCCTCCAGGGACTTGGAGTCCACCCCTGGTACCAGGGTGGTACCTCCCTTCCCTTCTCTGCGGTCCCAGACCCTCCACTTTTCAGTGAAGAGGCCCTGGGTCTGCTTTTCCAGCCTGTGTAGTGCAACAGCCATTCCCACCGGCTTACCCGGGAGAAAAGCCGTCACCCTGGACAGCCTGGGGAGCGCGTCCCTGTCCATAAGGACGAGGGAGGCCCCATCCCAGGGTGCCAGTGAGGCCACCGCGCTCCTGAGCCACTCTTTCGAGCGGGCGTCGGTGCACGTGACCCATAGCACCCCTTGCTCCAGCCGGTGTCCCACGAAGCTCGGAAGCTGGCCGCTCTGGTCACCCCAGAACATCTTCTCCACCAATGCCTCCTGAATGAGGTCCGCCTGGTCCCCCGTCAGGGCTGGCTCCGTGTAGCCGGCCGGCACTATAGCCACCTTGCCACCACCCTGTGCTGCCACCCTGTAGGAGGGTGCTCCAAGGCTGTCCCTCTTCTTCGCCCTCTTTTTTGGCATGGCGACCTCAGGGGGTGTGGCCTTTTGGCTCCGGTCCTCCCAACCACTCCCACTGGGGTCTCCGTCACTCCCTGCGAGGAGCGCTGTTCCCGCAAAGCCTCGGCTTCCAGCCTGGCCTTGCGAGCCCTGCGCTTCTCCGCGCCCGTGCGTCCCTTGCGCGTGTCCTTTAGGGCAGGTTGGTCCTTGGTGGGTCCTACCACGGTAGTTCCCTCCTCCGACCCCCCTGCCGAGACCACGGCCGTCTCCTGAACCCCTGTGGGATCCCCGGGGACTGCTGCCTCAACTGTTCTGTCTACCTCTGGTGTTCCCTCTGGGAGGGCACCGCCTTCGGCGTTGTGTGATAATTGTGATTTGTACATAGACATCCCACGGGTATCCTAGGAAATAGAGGTCCGCCCCAGCAGAGCCTGGTTACTGGGGTAAGGCATCGCTACAATGAGGTGCTGCCTGGTGCCTCTACACTATTCCCCAGTGCCATCCAGCCATCGGCACGATAACTCCCACCTTGGCTTGGGGAGTTGGCCTGCGACGGTGGTTTGGAGCGCCCTATCAGGGAGTTACCCCCGAGTTTGCCCCTATGGTGCCTCTGACCGGGTTCCGACAAGGACTAGCCAGATACAGGCTCTGATACTTCTCAGTACCCGACCCTGGTCCCCCAGCCCCTTCCTTTCCCCGGCCGTGCCTCTATTCGCCACCTGAGGACGCACCCGGTTGGCGCTCAACCCTCCCCTTCGTCTCTTTGCGAGCCCGACCGGGGCCGGGGCAATAAATAGTATAATAAATATTTGTATTTATTAACATGTTCCCATAACATTAACTTGGGTCTTAATGCACTTTGACGCATTATGAATATTCAATTGGTTTCAATTGTTTATTGCACTCAAAAAAATTAGAAAGAAAGAAACAGAGTTGTTTCGTGTAATTACAGTGTAAAAAAATAGCGCATTTGTACTTACTGTTATGGAAGAAAAAAAAAAGGGGGTGTATAGAGGGGGAAGACATTCCTCTCCTAATTTATTTTAGTTTATTGTCTGTTCTCTTAGAAGATGAAAATAATTTAAATATTAATCAATGTGAATTGACATTGGTGGACGCAATTTTGAGTTCTTTGAGAAGAGATTGAGTGTTCTCAGCACTATTATCCCTAGGGGAATTATTCCATGGCTGTATCATCATTGTGTAATTTCAAATGAACTAATATTTTAGAAATATGTTTCGTATTTGTATTAAGGCCCGACTGGAGGGAATTTTTTCTCGATTGGCGATTTTACGCCCTCCTACTTCGCGGTCAAGACCCGAACCTTGATCTCAAGCGATGCCTTGTCGGTAACTACGGCAATCGCT